TAGGCTGATGAATGAAGATGTTCAAACACCAACAACTGCTTTATCAGAAGCTAGTTGCATGCAGTCAGGCTCAGTAAGTGCAAGGAATTCAATTTTAGAGGAGAGTGAAGAAAATAAAGCCTTGGACAGAAGAAATTTTGAACAAGTAGACGAGAGAAAGCAACCATTTCCTATGAAACAGATATTGCTTATGGAGACCAGTTGGTACACTAGTCCTGAAGAGGTTGCTGGCTCTCCTAGTACCTGTGCTTCCGACATCTATAGGTTGGGAGTTCTCCTTTTTGAGGTTAGTTTTGAAAATGCTTGATATATTTATCAATTTTTTGTACAAATGAGGCCATAGCTTGGGGATAGAGGAAGGGATTGCAAGTGCTGTCGAACTCTAGACCTGTTGGATGTCACCTCTTACAGGTGGTTGTATGAACCAATTGAGTTAAGCTCCAGGTTGTGATAGATTCATCATTTTTAACCTTTCAAATAGGTTGCTTGATAGTTTATTATCTTTGGTATTAGTTATGGCCCGATTAAACTCTTAGATGTCTTTTCTTGTTTTATTTACTTTTGTTATTAATTATTATTCAATCATTGGATTGAATCTTAAAACTGATTTTTGTTATACTTTTTTACTTAGTATTTCCATGTGTCTGCAGTTGTTCTGCCCCTTCTGCTCAAGAGAAGAAAAGACTAGAACCATGTCTAGTTTAAGACATCGAGTTCTTCCTCCACAATTGCTACTGAAGTGGCCAAAGGAAGTTTCATTTTGTTTATGGTTACTGCATCCTGAGCCAAGTAGTCGTCCAAAAATGGGGTAATTTCTCCTTGCCTTTTACATATTCTACCATTTGTTTACATAATTTCCATATCCGGTGCCCGTTATACCTTTCTACTTGAACTTTTTTTTCTTTTCATTACCATTATCAAACATTTTCTTTATTAATATGATTGAACTACGTAATTGGATTAATGTCTTTGTTAATGTGCTGGACAGGATGGTCTGGCTTTACAAAGTTAGGTTTTAATTGTGAGTAAAATGCAAGGCAACGCATGGATATTAAAGTAGTCTATTATAATATTGATAGTGATAGTTAGTACGTGGAATGTAAATATAAAAGTTTTGTGGCAAATCCAGGCAGCCTCAAATTCTTTCAATCTATTATAGACTTGTAGTTCATCATGTGCTTTCTTGTGGAGTTATTTCCTTAATGGGGAATAGTTTATGCCTTTAGCAATGCCTTCATTACACTAGCTTCTGTTACTTTCATGTCACCATTGCTGCTCTGGATATATTCATCCGAGTGATCTTCTTCTATCACTGGCACATGAAGCAATTATTGTTTTAAGTTTGGAGTTCCAACATTTGTTCATAATGGATTTGGTGTATTAATCTTGTTTCATCAGTGTAACAGTGAGTTGGTACAGAGTGAGTTTCTTAATGAACCAAGAGATAATCTGGAAGACCGTGAAGCAGCCATAAAGCTCAGGGAGAGAATAGAGGAGCAGGAGTTATTGCTGGAATTCCTTTTGCTGATACAACAAAGGAAACAGGAAGTTGCTGATAGGTTGCAACATACTGTTTCTTTTCTTTGTTCTGACATGGCAGAAGTTACAAAGCAGCAAACAATCTTAAAGAAAGAGGGAAACTCATATAAAAAGCTGGGCAAAGATGACAGTTCAACATCAAATCTCCCCTCAATAAATATTGTTGATACTGATGATTCTTCCTGCTTGGGGTCTAGAAAACGATCTAGACCGGGACTTCAGATTCAAAATGTAGAAGAATGTGGTGATAATCTAGACACTCGTCAAAAGTCTGATACACTTAATGAAAATCAAGAAAGTATTCTCCTGAAAAGTTCTCGGTTGATGAAAAACTTTAAGAAACTTGAGACAGCATATTTTTTGACAAGATGCAGGCCAGTGAAGCAATCAGGGAAGCCTTTGAGTAGACAAACACCAATGAATAGTGATGGCAAAGGATCTATTGTTCTGACAGAAAGAAGTTCTGTCAATAATTTAACATCAAAAGAGAGGTATAGCGAGTGCTTGGAGAGTGGATGGATAAATCCATTCCTTGAGGGCTTGTGCAAGTATCTATCTTACAGCAAGTTAAAAGTCAAGGCAGACTTGAAGCAAGGAGATTTATTAAATTCTTCCAATCTGGTATGCTCTCTCGGTTTTGATCGTGATGCAGAATTTTTTGCTACAGCTGGTGTAAATAAGAAGATTAAAGTATTTGAATGTGATGCAATCATAAATAGAAATCATGATATCCACTATCCTGTGGTTGAAATGGCTAGTCGGTCAAAACTAAGCAGTATATGTTGGAATAGTTATATTAAAAGCCAGATTGCATCAAGTAACTTTGAAGGAGTGGTGCAGGTAGGTAAAGCATTCACTCAGCATTTATCATTCAGTAGTCTATTGCTGTATCTAAATCAGTATCTCAACCATTTTCAGGTGTGGGATGTTACAAGAAGTCAAGTACTCACCAAAATGAGGGAACATGAGAAACGAGTATGGTCCATTGACTTTTCATCAGCAGATCCAACAATATTGGCTAGTGGGAGTGACGATGGCTCTGTAAAGCTATGGAGTATCAATCAGGCAATTCTTTTTTTGAACTTGGTGGATGTCAGCTTTGAAACTAAACATACTGCAGTCATCTAATTGCTTGATGTGTTATTTAATTCTGGATGTATGATAAGTTTTTCTCTTACCTTGGTTGCCACTGCAGGGAGTAAGTATTTGTACCATCAAAACAAAGGCCAATGTTTGCTGCGTCCAGTTTCCCTTTGATTCTGGTCGTTATCTTGCATTTGGATCAGCAGATCATAAAATTTATTATTATGATCTCCGAAACTCTAGGATTCCTCTATGCATGCTAGTTGGACACAATAAAACTGTGAGTGACGTCAAGTTTGTTGATACAAGTACTCTTGTGTCTGCTTCCACAGACAATACTCTGAAGCTTTGGGATTTGTCAATGCTCTCTTCTCGGGTTATTGATACTCCCCTTCAGTCCTTTACCGGCCACATGAATGTAAAGGTATATTAACTCATGCATCATATTAAGCATTGATGCATACATTATGATGTCAAGTTTTGTTTGGACTTGATTATTATGCTTAGTATATTTTCCTTAATAAAGCTGCATGATTAATCAGCAAATGTTATGAACACATGTTGGTAGCTGCATATGTTGCAATGAACATATGAAATCATCACAAATTTATTTGGTCTGCCTGAGTTTGTTTCCATCCTCGTCAAAAATGAATTGTCTTCATATTGTGGAACATGTTCTTCTTGTTGCAGAACTTCGTTGGCTTGTCCGTATCTGATGGTTACATTGCTACTGGCTCAGAAACTAATGAGGTAATCCATATCTTCTCTCATTATATAATTAGACTATCATGCATTAATAGCTGTAGTTTCGTTGGCTTCTCATTGCTTACCGGTGCCTTCTGAACATGATATTGTACTGATTTATGTATTGAGCACTCACTAGGAATTCTATTGTATAGGTATTCATATACCATAAGGCTTTCCCCATGCCGGCATTGACATTCAAGTTCAACAACACGGATCCATTATCGGGACACGAAATGGATGATGCCATGCAGTTTATTTCTTCTGTTTGTTGGCGTGGCCAGTCCTCCACCCTGGTTGCTGCAAATTCTACTGGCAATATCAAAATCTTGGAGATGGTTTAGTTTGGCCTCATCTCTTGAAATCATCCATGATTCTAAACAAGGACACAAGCAAATCAGTGCTCCATGCAGGCACAAAACGACTAGTGGCAGGTATCTTACATTGGAGAAGATTGTAAGGTATAGCATTTGGGCAAAAAAAATTTGGCTGTAGATGATGGCGGATGCAATTAACATGAAGAATGAGAATGACTTGTTCAAATATATGTAGATAAAATTCAGAGAGAAAAGGGATAAGAATCAATCCTCTTGCATATTTTGTAATGCTTATAGTTCATAGTCATTTTTTAAATTAAATATAATTAATTTTGTGATTCCTCACAGTTTGCCATTTCCTGTTGGTGTTGTTTATAATTGTTTTTATGTTTTCATCCACTTTTAGCAAAATGGCAGAACATAATTGCCATGGCCTTCGATCCATGTGGAGCAGAGCAAGCAAAGATGATGACCTGAACTTGAAAATCCGAATCTGACTCGACTTGATAAACAAAAAAAAGTTGCACTCAAATTCATTCAAACCAAATCCAAAACTGATATGATTTGAAAGATTAATTTAAAATAATTCAAATTTAAAGTAATCTAATTTTAAAATACAATAATTTAGAATCGAACTTGAATAATCTAAATGTTAATTCCAAGATGATTCTATTTTTTTTCAACCTGAAGTCACCTGACCTGACTCATTCCATTGCTGCCATTAATATGGATAGATAACCAGTGCAGCTACAATTTAATTTTAGCTGGTGAGAAATGTGACTATAAATCTGATTTTAGTTGGTAAGAATTGTGGTAACCAGATGAGATGCACCTAAGTGAATGCTTGGATGGCTTGTCATATCATATTAGCTCCAATTGACAGGAATGATTACTCTCGCAAACCCCCCAACCTTTTTAAAAGTAAGCAATTATTAGTAAGATGATTCCAATTTGGACACTTAACAGCTTCAGGGCAGGATTTTCAGAAGTAGCTTTGGATCAAGTTTGATGTGCATGATGTAATTAATAATTCTGAAGAAAAGATCTGAGAGCTTCAATCCTATTAAAGAAAGAACAAGCTACATGATCCGTTAACAGAATACTGAACCCTTAGTTTTTAGTAATCAAAATTCAAATCCTGAATCTCAAACACCGGGAAAAGGAAAAAAAAAGAACGAAATGGCTGTCCAGGGGAATATTCAGTCTTGGGATCTAATCATAATCATAAGAAACTTCAACATCAAGAGTTTCCTGGTTTGTGAACAACAATGTTTCAAAAACTTAATGCAGTGGTAGAAAAATATTGAATAACAGTTCTGAGATACGGAAGTATAAAGCTTTTTTTTTTTTTTTTTATCTAATTAGTCTCTACCAAAAGTGGGGTATCGAGTACCATTTCTGATCCTGAATATGGCTATACTTTTCAATTCCTATGATTGCAGCAAGACAAAGATTCACCTTCAATTATAATCGAGATTAGGCCAGATGAGGAATGCCATTATTAGAAATTTTCTATTAGATACAATTTTCTCCGCTGTTGTCTGCCTCATTGATTGAACTTCCTCATCATGAAACCTATGTACACTGATCTTGACCGAGATTAGCTTTCATAACTAACATAGCTATGAGTTGGTGAAGCCTTTGAGCTCCTGGACCTGGCTTGAGCTTGTTCAAGTCTCCAACTTCTGAACATTTTGGTTTGCCAGAGCACCAAGCACCGGGGGTGAAGCTTCCTGGTGCCCGGCCAAGCAAATCCTTATCAATCTTATCTAAGACAGGATCGTCTAGTTTGAATTTCCGAGCAAAAGCAGCATTACTCGTAATCATATTGTCTGTGTCATTAAGGGTAAGGACATGCGGGTGCTGTTGAGGTGGATTGTCCCATGAAATATAATGCAAATCATGATTGACAACAGTCTTAGCGAACTCTGGAACATTGCATATGACAGTCTGAAAGTAGCCTTCAGGGGAGGAGACAAAGTTTGTGTAGTACATCAGAAGAGTTCTTGGTAGATTATCCCAACCCCAAACACAGAACTCCACAAATGAATGCGACAAAACTGTCCATGCTGAACCTGCAACCAAAGAGGATGTTTTGAAAAAGTTAACCACCAATTTTGTAAAACAAAACAAATTTAACATTTCCATTTTTAACATATAAGTAGGGTTGCAATAAATGCTATCTCTATGTACGAATGCAATGTGCAGAACAAAACCAAGGCATAGCTTTAAGATCAAGATTCCATCCAGCTGCATCACTAAACCAAATGCATATATGTTTTCATAAGTTCTAACAGAACTTGCCTAATGAGTGCAGGTTAACTCAAACACACCACATAGCCTCAGATAATTCACTTTTAGATAGAAAAAAAAAGAAAGACCGTTGTCTGTGTTGTCTGTGTATGAGATCAGAAACAATAATCTCATAAGCCTACCGAGACCACTAAGATGGAACTGATCCTTAGAAACAATTATTATGAAATTTCAATACTATGTATAAATGGATCAGTACTTTTAAAGTTTGAATCCTCATATCCTTAATTGTAAAGAATCAAAGACGACTAAAAGTTTAAATTACTGAACATGGAAATTACAAAAAATATATCAGGTGTATGATGGAGTACTAACCAGTAAATAATTTAAATGCTGTAGGTAATGTTCTTCTTGGTGTGGCCAAAAATATATCAGACTTGGTTGACATGTAGAGTCCAGGATCTATAATCAAAGGCATTGCTCTTTTGTCCCTGCACAAGAACAGGCGAAATATGTTGGCATTTGACATATTTACAGAGTTTAGACAGAGAGGGAAAGAGGGAGAGAACTTACGCTTTCCAACCAAGCTGGCTTGTGTGCTCAACAAAATTAAGGTTCCGGTTTAAAGCCGAAAATGCATAAAGAAGATCTGCAAATTACAAATTAATTGATCAATGACTGTTCAAATAACTGAACACCGAAATCAAGATCTACAACTCCAGGAAAACGGAGAACAAGTATGACATATGATAGAAACTAACCATCTTGAGTCACAAGAGGATAATCTGATGCACTGAGATTGATAAACCAATCCCAATCTTTATTTCTCTTTAGAAGAATTGCACAAGCATGGAGAGTATTAGCAACCATGGTAGGCCCTCTATAAGTAACCATATTAGCCTTGGTGATCATATAAACATTCCCAACTTTGGAGAAAATTGTATGGTTTTTTATTCTGGAAGTAAGTGCCAATCTTTCTTCTGCAGATGCCTCAAGGTCCAAATGGACCACATATTGGTTCCGTGGATGATACAGTGCATGAAGTGTTCTCCAAAGCTTTTCCAGATCACCTTTTGATCCAGAAACCAAATAAGCAAAACGTGGAATCGTTGGACCAGCAGGAGGAGGTGGCGAACCTAGGTTGATCTTCGATTCAGCATACTCCGGTTTTCTTTGATTCATAGAAATGTGAGCCGGGAAAATGGAGAAGATTGAATTGATTTTGTAAACTGGAGAAACAAGCCCCATATTGAAGGAAGTGACAAGAAGGAACATGCATATGAGAGAACTTATCACAAGGGGAAACACCCATTTCTTCTCCATGTTCAGTGATACCATTGTGAGACCTTATCATAGGATCCAATAAACAATCTTCACAGCAAAAATGTGCTCATCACCAACTCAAAACATAGGAAAAAAAAAAAAAACACCTTATATCTTGATTCAGTTACAAATGGTTCCCACAACTACCATAGATCTTCGGATCAAGAACTTTCCTCTTATATATATTCCCAAATATACCTTCTATAGCTGTTAAATGAACAACCAACAGTAATATTAGTTTATAATATCATAGCAAATTATTTTATTATATCATAGCCTGTAATGCTAATTCCCATATTACCAAGAAATTGAAACTTGTTGAAACAATCAATAAAATAACAACAAATTATGAGAAAGAGGAAAAAAAACAAAACATACCAAAAGTGATTGAGAAGGAAATGATTATTTCCAACTTTTATAATGCATGAAAAAAACAAATCTGAATTAAAATTTTCTTGATCATCAAATCTGTAAATTTCCCACTAACAGATTCATAACTATCATTCAATAAAAGCAAAACCCAGAAACAGAAAATAAGGAAAGATTAAATCTTTGACAAAAAGAAATAATACCCAAATCTGGAAATCAAACATAAAGCTATCAATGAAAGCCAAATCTAAATATATATTTAAAAATAAAAAGAAGCCCAAAAAATTCAATGAATATGAACCAAAACCAACATGAGAGGATATTAAGAAAACACATGAAATGAAGATAATTTAAGAAACAAACCTGATTTTTATGCTGGTAGGCAACAAAAAGATTGTTTCTTGCAAGAAAAAAGAAAACCCAAATTTTTTTTTTAATTGTTGTGAGAAAGAGCAGGGTTATGAATTAATGTTAATAAAGAAAGGAATGAAAATGTTTCTTTATCTTTCCTTTTCTGTTTCTCTCTTTTTCTTCCTTTTAACTCTCTTGTATCTAAGCCTTAGGAGTTTCTGTTAATGTAGAAGAGCTCCTTGGATTGACCAAAGACTCTGCAACAACAACAAAAAAAATCCACCAAAAAAAAAAAAGACCGCAAAATTTGAACACAATGACAAGTAGTGAAGTTTCTTTCTTCTTTTTTTTTTTTTTTATTCTTTTCCGAATATTACAGTACATAGAAACAGTTTTCACTTTTCAATATTCTCAGTAGATTTTTTTTCCTTTGAGAAATCATTTATTATGCCTATACAATGCATGTAATCTTTGTTAATGCTATATAAATATATATATATATATATATATATACACACATATATATATATATATAATTTTATTTCATGTAGAAATGTAGAGGTTTTTTTATTGAGTGGCAATAAAATTTTGGGGTTTTATCCATTTAAGTAGGCTTATTTATTTTGGATTTAACAAATTTATAAAAATTATTTTTTTATAACCTTACAATAAATTCAAATTCAAACAATAAAAATTTTTTTAGACAAATAAAACAAATATAAATTTTTAAAAAAATGATATATGAACTATTATTTTTTAATAAAATTTAAGAGAATGCATATTTAGTAAATACAATAAAAAGTTTAACATTAATATTGTATAAATGAATTTATTTGATACGTGTTTAATTTATGATAAATTCATGTATACTTTTAATTTAGCCTTAATTATAATTTGGTTTTTAATTACTTTTATAAATTATTTATATTCTATATAAGATTGGAGCTAATTTTGATAGAATGGATAATACTGATGGAAAATTGATCTAAGGATGTGAGAAAATTTGCAGGGGAAATGGTATCATTTGGGGAAAATTGAATCCAAGACAAAATGTCGGGGGTGTGACTGAGACACCATGGTTTAATGAAAATTTTTTGTTTGTCTTATGAGAAAATCGGTTGGCCAATAAAAAAAAAAGTTTTGACCCCATTTCTTACTCTATTATTGACTTTGCCAAATTCAAAATTTCTTTTTTCTTTTTTCAATATTCTTATTGTTTTATGTATTTCTGGTCATTTGATGCTATCCCAAAATAGATGATCCTAGGAAAAGTAAAACACCATGCAATTTTAATAGAAATTAAATGGAGAAAAAGTAAAACACCATGAATTTTAATAATAAAAAATGGTATTTTTTTTAATTAAGTATATCATATTTTAAACATTTCCCCTTTTCCCATGTCAACTTAATTTTTATTATTTAAATAAATAAATAATTAATTAATTCTGATGTAGAAGTTTGGAAATATAAAATATGGATTGATGATTCCAAATTAAGTAACATTTTTATTAAATTCTTGAAAACCACAGAATAAATGACACTATCAAAGTGAGGTGGGAACTTATATGTGAGGAAACTTAAATATGAATTAAAAAATGATGGCAATTAAAAAGCTAATTTTCATTAGGTTTGGTAGCCAAAAGAGTTTGGTTGAATGTCTCACCATAGTAGCTAAAAGCCACAAAGCTAATGCCCATATTGCAAACCTTTAGGATTTTCATTATGTGATTTTCAAAGATATTTTGAAAGGGTTTTATTTGGTTAATTGAAATTTTTATCATATTATACATTATTTTGGAAATAGATCTTATCGATCATCCAAATGAAGTACAAATTATGATTCGATTTCATTTTCTTTATTTTTTATTTTGAAAAAAGATTTGGAACTCAACTTTTTTAATAAAAGATCATACACATAAATTTATCATTGAATTAAATGCTCAGATATTGTATTATATCATATTTTAAAAGGTTTATAATTTTTATTTATAATTTTTTTGACCTAATTGAATCTTGAAGGACATAAAGGCTCATTGGATTAAGGTTTCATCTTTAGAGATAACTTTCCAAGTAAAAAAGGTTGAAGTTGAAAATTTTTGTAAATCTAGTAAGTAAAAGCCATGCACTAAGAAAGAAGATTTAATATTTTTTGGTTGGTTGTGCAATTTAAATTTCATTACTAAATTTTTACTTAAAGAAAAAGGACTACAATACTACTTTTAAATCAAAAACTTTCCCATATTTTACTTTTCTATCATTCTCATCACAACAAACACATTATAATGAAAATATATATGTTTCATCCATGTTCCATCATTTTCATCACCAAATAAATCTAAGAGAAAAATATAGCTTTTAATCTCTAAATTATGTTTAATTTTCAACTTCTGCTACAAAATTTCAATGATTCAAGTATTACTTTCAAATATGTGCTAATATCAAATTTAAAAGAATTTAAGGTTTTGAATTTATCTTACATTAAATTCAGAGCATTCAGTTGATTTATATAATTATCTTTAAGAAATGACATTGGGGTTAAAATTCAATGTGCAATTAGCCACCCTAAATTAAGCTACATGTGCAATTAGTTTTATAATATAAAATTGAAAATTCAATTTCTTTTTTCTCAATGTTATGTGACAATTAATTTATAAGTATTTGGCAAAAAGAAAAGTAAAAAACGTCAATTATTATTATTATTATTGTTATTGCCCCATCTCCATGTCTCAATTAATCCAACAGCCAAAAAGAAACAGCCATTCTTATTCTAACGTTGCTTGTCATTAATATAGCAATTAAATCAAGCAATTAAAAGAACCAAAAAAAATGTAATAAATGTTGCTTAAAAAACCATAATAAAAAACAATATTGTACAAATTAATGTTCCCCTTTTGGGAAATCTTGTAACAAGCTTACGCCTCATTTGTTAAAAAAAAAAAATCCCACAGTAAAATTGAAAAGAATTAACTAATGGTTTTATTATCCCAATTTTTAGTGCTATTTTCATTTTAGAACCAAATATAATTTTAGTTGATTCATATTAAATTAATATAATTTTTGTAATTTCAAATAAAATACTCTTTCTATCCTATTTTCTTTGTTCATCTTTTTCTTTTTAGGATGTCCTAAAATTATATTTTATTTTCTTTTTTGAACATCTAAATTTTTTTTTATATATTTTAAAATTATTTTTCTGATTTTTATTTTACTTCTTGATATTAAAAATCATGAAACTTTAATTTTATAAAAAAAATTAATTTGAATATTAATTACATTAAAATTAAAGTCTTTTTCTTAAAGTCTGTGAAAGTCCATACATAAAAAATAATATGGGACAGAGGGAGTAGTAAAATTCAAGGAAATAATATGAAAATTTAAAAAAGCTCAAGCCCATGAAAGATTGAAAAAAATTATAAGTATTAATAATCGATCCTTAACTTTACAAAAAAAAAAAAGAATGAGTAAATATATTTTGTAATGATGGGTTAAGAACTTTGCTTTTATTTTTTAAAAATTTATTTAAATGAATGATAAAATTAAAAATAACGATATTTATAAAATTAATTTACTTAATATTGATATTGAATGTTGTAATAATAAAATTAAAATCAATGATAAAATATATATATTTAAATGTAAATATAATAATAATAATGAAATTAAATATAATAATTGAATGTCCTGTATCAAAATCATTCGATTATCTTAATTAAAAAATATTATATTTTAATTTTATATTAAAAATAGTTGATTGCCATGGGATCCAATGGTTCGTTGGATCTTTTTTCAATTGAAAGCCCTAAATTGTACCATTGGACTGCTATGGAATGCAAACGAGCTCTAAATATTTTTTTTAGTGCGTTAGTACATTTTGCTTCTGTCTGTCTGAGTGAAATACACAACAACTAATCACCGCAACTCTCCACGTTTCAATAAGCGGACATTCTTTGCGGAAATAAAGGGCACGGAACCCGAAAGATTCGGCTGTTCCATGACGTAACCTATTACCCAATCATTACGCCAAACATCACCGTTGCTTGCCAGCCGTCTGATTCTGATTTGGAATCTGAAAAGAAATTGCTTTTGGTTACTGGGCCCCTCCCTCTTTTCACAAAGAAATTTGCTTATCTTCACGATTTTAGATAAACTGACAACACCGAGATTAATGCGGGTGAAACATCTGTCACAGACTTCGGAGTTCGTACATCTTCACATTTAACATTGTAGCATATCTTCAGACAAAGACAATAAAAAAATATTTTTATATAATTTTTTATTTAAATGACAAAAATTAAAAATTTAATTATCAAAATTAAGATTTTTGCACGATCACATTGTTTTTGGTTTATTTGATATGATTTCATGGGTTTGATTTCTTGTATTTTTTTTTAAATTATCCTTTTCATTTTTTTTATGATATGGATTATTGAATTATAATATTTCAAAATTTACCTAAATTTAAGTTTATTAGGTAATCCTAATGACATATTATAAAAAGTATAAAAGGTATCTCACGGTTAAAAAGATAATTTTTTTTTATTAAAGATTATCGATAAATAGTTAAAGGTATTTTAAATATTTTAATTGATTTTACATATTAAATTAATTTAATATATGTAATGTCACATCAATTTAGTTACGTTATTTTTTTTTTTTACAAATCTCATACCTCTTACTTATAAATATGAATATTTATGTATTATCATTTCATTTCAGAATATTCTTAATTTTTTATTTTTCTCATATTTTGACTTTTTTCGTATTAATCTTTGACTTATGTATCAAAATATAAATGCAAAAAATATTCTCTATATTTCTTACTCACTACTTTCTTTATTTTCCTTTTGATTTCAATTCTACCTCTCATTCAAAACTTGACACAAACACATACTTTTTCATTTTTAAAATTTTATTTTTTAAAATTTTTCATAAAAATTAAATCTTGATTGATAAAAAAAATCTTTTCTTATAAACTAAACTAATCTTATTGATGTTGCGGTTAAAGTTATTACATTTGATTGCAAAATGTAAAGTTAAATAAAATAAAAAAATGTGGTTAATTAAAATATTAATTATGATTAATTTATTTTCAATCATAAAAAGTCATATTTTCTTCCTTTTTCCCTTTTGATTTGTCTTCATATTTTTTTTATTAGATATAAATCTTAACATATAAAACTTCATATTTAATAAATAAAATAACTTGTCATGGATTAACATATTCAAGAAAAACTTTCACCCAACTATTTGCAAATTAATTTTTATTAATGAACATAAGTATTTACAAATTATTTATTTAATTAAGATGAGGGATTCATTTACACCAACAAAGTGTTACAATAATTGTTTTGAATCGAAATAATTAAATGTAAGTACTATAAATTTAATTTTGATTCGAGTGTAAAAAAAAAAAAGTGTAACGCTTGCATTTATGTAAGCAA